CCGTAAGGGCACTACGTCATCATGTGCCGTAAGGGCTCTACGTCACGATGTGCCGTAAGGGCACTACGTCATCATGTGCCGTAAGGGCTCTACGTCACGATGTACCGTAAGGGCACTACGTCATCATGTGCCGTAAGGGCTCTACGTCACGATGTGCCCTTCCAAGCAAAGTAATGCCAAGCAGTACAGTTTCCACCCTTTTCCAGGTCTGCAGACACAGAAGACACAGGCATTTGGAATGACTCACAGGAGACAAGACTGCCTATTATCCAGAGGTGACAGCCTCTCTTACCACTGAGGGTTGAGGGTTTTAATACTATCCCCGGGGGCTTCCCACTTCCCTTAAAGTCCTGCTATCCAGAAGCCAGCCACAGTGTCCTCTGCCTGCCTGCACTCTAGTGTTGAACTGAGTGCCAGAGGCTGGGGCCTGCCCAGGTCTGTGCCAAGGAGCTGGCACAGTGGCTGCAGCTTGCCCAATTGTTATTTTCCAGTGCGGCTCCTGAGAGGGCTGGGGTGGCCTCCTGAGCACTGGGCTGTGAAGGAAGGCTTCCAACTGCTTCCTTCTGTCCTGTGTCGGAAGGATCCTCAGCTTTCTCTTCCTCTTTCTTAGACACAGTTCTTCTGGACCATAAGGATCCACTGACACCCACCTGCTCCTGCAGGCTACGGAGATGAAGAGATAGGTAGGAGAAAGCAGATGTCCCTCTGAAAGGCCAGCACTGGAGGGGGCTTTGGAGCCTCATATCCAATTCCTTCATTCCAACCAAAACCGTGAGGACTCCAGCCCACTCTAGCACCTTTAAAACCCCGACTGCCCCCCACTCTGTGACAGCAGGATTATTGTGTTCCCAAACTATCAAGAAGCCTTAAAGCTGGCTCGTTCCCTGGTGCCTCACTCTGCCACTGCAGTAGAAACTATTCTCCTCCCTCATATCTGCAGCAGAACCGCCAGGCTCCTGCATGCTTCATAGGCAGACGACCTGAACGTGGGCACCGAGTCTGTAGCTTGCTAACTCAATTCCTCCTCCCTCCTTTGGAGGGTAAGGATAAGATCGAGATAATATATGTCCAAGTACTCTGCAAACACCCTCTTAGTACTCCCTAGCCTGAGCTCTTACCCCACCAAGCTTCTAGACAAACACACACCTACAACATCCCAGTGCCTCTCAGAGCTCAGCAAACATAGCCCGGGTACTATTCAAACAGCTCAGCCAGGTCTGTCTCATGGGGATCTCCAAGCCTCTCCATCATGGTCTTCCAGACACAGGGAAGCAAGTTCTAGGTAGGCAAGAATTTATAGGGAAAGAACACAGAAAGGCAGATCACCTTATGGGGTACTGCCTTGACCTTCATCTGGTGGAAGGTGGATAGACCAAGATGAACCTCCTCCAGACCAGAGGGGGTGCAGGAAGGGTGGGGTCAAGGGTTCTGCTCCATATCACTGTGCAGCAAATCTTTCCTCTCCATCTTTTTTATAGTTTGGGAAGCCGTTTCACAGCCAGGTCTCAGGGGAACTTGATAACCACACTGTGTGGGCGTGCAGCATGCAACAGAACGGCAGTAGTATGGATTTGAATGTCTGCTTGCCCAGATCTCCTACTTCCAAAGCTCCTTCAGGACCCAGGCTAACAGGGTCATTTAGATGCAGGTGGTGGCAGACTCCGAATATCCTTTGCTTTGGCGTGGGAAAAACTAGACCTGTTCAAGGAGGGCACCACCCAAAGATGGAGGGTGAATCAGGTGACCCCAAGTGCTGAAAATGGGGTCCATCCCAAGACCACATACAGACACCAATGACAGGGGAAATGGACACTATCCCAGATGGAAGAGAGGGGACCCTGGAAAGGGGCCTTCTCCCCTGCCCCCCACTTACCCTTCCTGACTGCCTGAGGGCCCCTGGGGGCAGAGGTTAAAGCTTTCCTGGGGCTCCTCCAGCGCCAGGTCCCAGTCGACCTTACAGTACGGGGTATCAGTTCTCATCTGTTTTTCTTGCTATTTTCTCCTTGGTGGGAAAAACTAGACCCAGGACCTTGGCTGAGGTAGGGCAGGCTCCCTGGGATCAGGGGAGACACTCATCTCTCGTTATGTCTGGGAATAGGAGGCTGATGCATGGGGTGGGGCCATGGAAAATGTCTCCCATTCTTAGGGAAGTCTCTCTGAAGTCCACCCTCAGGGGCTGTGTTGGGGAGTGCTCAGTCTCAGACAGAATGTGAAAACAGTGGCCTAACAGCTCCTTAAAGATCCAGCAGAGGAGACAGGCACGGAAGCCCTTGCCTATGATTCCAGCACTTGGGAGGAGAAGGAGAAGCTGAAAGATTAGAAGTTTAAGGTCATTCTCAGCGAAGTAATAAGCATGAGCAAGCCTGGGCTACATGAGACCCTGTCTCAAAAAAAAATTAAAAAACAAAAAAAAAACAAGATTTAACAGAAGGCTTTGAGCTGGGTATGGTAACTCACACCTGTGCACCTGACCCCTGGAAGTAGAAGCAGAAGGATCACGAGTTCATGGCCATCCTAGGCTAGGTAAGTGAGATCCTGCTTCACTACCACTCCCAAATGTGACTCAAGGAACCAGAGAAACCAGGGTAAGCCTACCACCTCTGGCGTCTGCCTCACTGAGCAGGGAGTCCCATTGTTCTTGAACAGTTCCTCAGTATTTTGTCTTTACATGAGTGTGTGTGTGTGTGTGTGTGTGTGTGTGTGTGTGTGTGTGTGTACAGGCACACGGATACCATGGTTCTCTCCTTCCACTTTGTGGGTTCCGGGGATCGAACTCAGATCACTGGGCTTGGCAGCAAGAACCATCTTCACCATCTGACGGGTATTCAGCATGGTATCTTTAAAAGT